GGTAAGGGAAAACTCTCCACAACTGCCCTATCACCAATTGGGAGTTGTGGGGTGTGGAGTGTCCAATGGTACAAAATACCCAGGCAGGTGCTTAGTTTTGGTGGGGCTGATGGTAAGGTCCCCACCTCTTAGTGGTTAGCTCAAGGTTCAGCAGCAGCGCCTCCAACTCCTTCTCTGAGTGAGCAGCAATAACCAGATCATCGGCATACATAACGTGGTTGAGCAAGAGAGCCATCCTTTGACTGCACCGGGACATCGATCAGCCTCCCATTGTATCTGTACGTATCTGTACGTATCTGTACCAGATGGAAATTCCTCCGGTACAGCCATCGAATGAATCACAAACTACGTGGTCGAAATAGATGTTAATAATGTGGGAGCCAGAAGACATCTCTGTCGCACTCCAAGGTGAACAGGGAATGGCTCCTACTCCCGGCCACGTAGTTTTACCCGGGCCTGCTAACCATCATGATCGTGAGCAGAGGGTCAGGGACTCTGAAAGCACAAAGAATAACCCAGAGCCCAGGCCTACTGATGGTATCATAGGCCTTGACCAGGTCAATAAATCAGAGGTTTAGGTTTTGTTTGAATTCCCTACACCTCTGCTGAAGCAAACGGACAGAAAATATGGCATCTGTGCAGGACCGCCCTTTCCTGAAACCGCATTGGGGCTCCGCAAGCCTCTCCTCAGCGTGCCTGGCAAGGCGATGTTGAATAATCCTTGCCAGGACCTTTCCCTGCATACTGAGGAGTGAGATGCCCCTGTAGTTGTTACAGTCTGTGCGGGCCCCCCTTCTTAAAGAGGGGGATCACCAGGGCATCCTTCCAATCTTGCGGAACCCGTCCAGTGGTCCAGACTGTTGTTATGATGTCATGTAGGGCAGACTGTGCACAAACAACACCCTCCCTCAGCATTTCGCTTGGGAGGTCATCTCTGCCCGGTGCCTTTCCTGGTCTCAGACTCTGGATCGCCTTCAGTACTTCCTCAACAGATGGCACCTCAGTCAGCCACTCACAGGGGGTGACTTCTTCCAATATTTGAGACACCGCAGCCTCAAGCAGGGTCACCCCCACTTTGTCCCACGATGTTTTCCAGGCTGAGGGATTTCCCCTCCCCCAGGATCTCAGACACACAACACAACAACAGCAATGCCCGGCTCTGCTGGCGAGACGCTGAACGTGAAAATCACTCGAGTGCTTTGCTTGTGTTGGCACCACGCGGCTGACAGACCCGCGCACACCACACACAGTCACCGTCCCCAAAGCGACAGTGGGAACACAAGAATTGATTTCGTTTGGGAGTGACGGAGGGTCGCGGAGGGCAGTTGATGACAGATCAGTGTTACGTGGGCCCCCCCAAAACCACGTCATGGGCCCCCCCAAACCCACGACGTGGGGCCCCCCCAAACCCACAACGCACGGCCACGCGGGGTCGTCCCCCCCCCTTCATCAACACATTCTTAGCCACAGGCTCAGAGGCTCCAATTTGCCCCAAATGTCTCAAGAAAGGTGTCCCCAGAGCCAGATCAGGATGCCGACGATCCACGCCTCGAGCGAGCCACACTCGGGGGAGCCGAGCGAGCCACACTCGGGGGAGCCGACGCCTTTCCTTGGAAGCCACCGAGCAACTGCAAACAGCAATTGAGCCGAGCCGTGCGAGAGGGGCGAGCCAGGGGCGAGAGCTTGCGCCACGACCCCCACGACCTCACCCCGCCCTTGAGTGGCGTGGCCACGGAGGGCAGCAGCAGCAGCAGCAGCGCGAGGCGCCGTGTTTATGTTGAAGCGCGAACAGGTCGGGGTGGTTATTGGTGGTGCCGCGCCCTGCGTGAGCAGCCACATCCAGCCGCCAGCCGTGTAGAGGTAGAGAGAGAGAGAGAGGTAGGAGAGAGAGAGGGGGAGAGGTAGGGGAGAGGAGCGGTAGGGGAGAGGTAGGGGAGAGGGAGAGAGAGGTAGGGGAGAGGTAGGGGAGGGGGAGAGCGGTAACCTCCACGTCAAAAGGTCCCACCCAGGTGCGGCGTTTTTGGATTTGCAGGGTGGGAGGAAAGGAACCCTCCTAGACGGTTCACAAACCGGGACGGGCGGACACTGCAGCACTCCGTGCCGTTCAGTGGCCGATCCCCCCCCCCTTCTCACCCCCCCTTCTCACCCCCCCCAATTCCCACCCCCCACCCCACCCCCCCTACGGCAGGAGGTACTGCTGCGCATTCAGTCGCAGTCCCTGCACGACTGCAAGTTCTAAACAACAACAACAACACCACCACCACAATCTCAAGATACCCATTTAGACTGGCACGAGGAATCCGATGAACTACAAAAGCTATTTTTGTTTTCACCGGATGCCCAGTTAGGGGGCTCGGGGTAAGAACGCTACTACAACAACAACAACACAATGCTAAACACACACTAGCAGTGTAAAGTACATGAAAAGTAAACAAATCACCCAAACCAAACAAACGACAACTAAACCATCCGGCATCCGACCCAGGCAACCCCACTCCGAGGTGCTGACCTCTTGTTCAGAAGCGCCCTGGCCATCGACAATGAGAGCCGCTCAACACATTGACCCCATCATTTGGACATTTCTAGCGCCGCGATAATCGAAATAATCTTCTTGGTTCTTTCGGTAAAGTCACGTAGACGGAAAATAATAAAAATAAAACATAATAAAATAATACATTTCTCACGACGTTTCGGCCACAACGCGAGCAGCCGTCCTCAGGTGAAGAACAGGTCTGTCGGGAAGACAGCGCCTGGGGTGTTTCATTCAGACGCTGTCTTCCCGACAGACCTGTTCTTCACCTGAGGACGGCTGCTTGCGTTGTGGCCGAAACGTCGTGAGAATTATTTTATAATGTTTTATTTTATTATTTTATTATTTCCATTCTACGTGACTTTACCGAAAGAACCAAGAAGATGATCCCTGCAGTCACGAAAGCTTTAAATCGAAAAAAAATCTAAATAATCTCCGTGCCATGTTTCTCACAATGTCAGCATCGGTATTTAAAGAGTGGCAGCAGCAGGAGGAGGAGGAATCCGATGAGCTGTAAAGCTCTTTCGCAGGACGTTCCAGTTAGGGACACGGGTTAACAACAACACAGCACCAAAAGAAAAACCACGATAGCCATGTGACATAGGGGGTCGTCCATAAATGACGTCACGCGATTTGGGACGATTTTTGCCCCCCCCCCCCTTCGTCACACGGCCGCCACAAAAAGTCAGACCCCCCCCCCTCAAATATGACGGTCACAAAGCTCTGCCCCCCCCCAAAAATAAAACATGCTTCAAATCGCTTTAAACTATTGTCATTGTAGTTCGTATTTAATGTGGCGCTGCACTCTGATGTTGTAGGAGGAAATATTTATCAAACAGTATATTTAATTAGGTAGAACGTGTTGTCTACATTTATTTAAAAGTTGCGCATTTTAATGTGACGTCACATTTCTCACCCCCCCCCAGGTGTGTGACGTCATTTATGGACGGCCCCCTAGAAGACGAGGCAAAAATCGAAATCGCCCGCGACAAACATTCAGACGACGAAGCCATCCAACCATCCCCGCACCACACAGAGGGGCAAACCCCAGCGCGAGACTTGTTCACTTCTACATGTCGCAGGGGGCCTGGGGCCCACCGCTCACCACGAGCTAGAGAAGAACCTGCGGCTCCAAGGGCACTCACAACGCACCCCTCACTCCGCTGCCCCCCCCCCCCCCCCTGAACATCACCACACGTGCCCCCCCCCCTGAACATCACCAACGTGCCCCCCCCCCTCCTGAACCTCACCAGCCCACAAACACCACCAGCACCCCTGCCCGCACTCCACAAACACAACAATAAACTCACTTCAAGTGGAGCGAGCAAGACGAGGCGGCTGCTGCTAAACCTTCCGTCGTGGCCCACAGTCAGACGGGGCTCGGGACATCTTGGGAGATGTCGTTTGCGTCTTACTCGCTGGCCGCAAGACGCCGCTTTCATCGCTGTTGACCCCACGCGGTTTAGCCCGTAGCTTGTGCGGGGAAATTGAGTTATCAGGTTCACACGACGTACAGCTGTTTCAATGCGGGCAGCTACAATTGTGTCTCTCCCTTGTGATGGGACTTTGTGGGATGAACGTTGAGATTTACAAATGGCACGGGGTGATCGACAAGGTTGTCTGTCGTAAGCTCGGGGGGGGGGGGGGCACTGACAAAAGAAGGGGTTGACAGCGATGGTGCTCTTGGGGTCTTTTTGTTTCGCTCCGGCCCTCCGTGCCAAGTATTTATTTTAGATCAAGACGGGGCCTTCAGCACCACCACCACCAACACTTCACACAGAGTAGGATAAAGCCACGCATGCCACGCGAATGGCGAGTGGGAACAACGTTCCATGCTCACCATCACCATCAGTACCCAATTGCAGCGTGGCAAGTAGGACACGCAGTGGATCACACGTGACTGCCTTGCCGCTGCTGCTGTTGTTGTTGTTGTTTGGCGGCGGCGGTGGTGGTGGTGGTACCGTCGGAGTGGCGATGAATATTCTAGCAGCAGGAGGCACGCCCCGACTCCCCCTCGCCACTAACAACCACCACCACCACAAAGATCCCCTCGCTCCGCGGAGCCGTAACAGGCTGCCGAGACGGGTGTGGACAAGTGCTGTTAGCAGCAGCAGCAGCACCGCTCGCCTTTGTCTCCCCGAAGTCAGCGATGTTTTAACGACAGCAGCAACACGCAGGATACGGCACTCATTTGAGGCCGAGTCGACCTAGGGGGAGGCGGGTCCCACAAACCGTTCTTCAGACATTCGTCACCGCGACGGCCGCGTTCGCGTTGTCCGCGAGCGAGAATCTAACGAATCGGGGTCGCCGGATTCGCAGGAGCGCAGTGCGCCAACCGTTGCGCCACCGCTCCCCCCACACACAGAGACGGACGCGATTAATAGCCACCGCCATCCACCATCGCAGTCGTCATTAATTAAAGACGGGTCACGCAACGCAGAGGAGACAGAGAGAGAGAGCCCGGGGTTACCTTCAGCAGCAGCAGTAGCAGGAACAAGCCAGGCCCCGACGCTGTTGCTGTAACGAAACGGAGAAAGCCCTCCTCCCTCCACTCCCCTTCTCTCGTTCTCTGAAGGAGTAAAATGTGTGTGCGTACGATGTGTTCTGTCGTGCTGGACTGGGCTCTCTCTCCTCTCTCCCTCTGCCTCGTCTCTCCCGTCGCCAATTCGTGGTTGCCGTGTGGCTGGGCACGCGCCCGCGCGGATAGGATGGCCGGGGATAGGTTTACCTGCCCACAGCGCGGATTGGCTGCCTCCTTCAATTACCAAGCCACCCACCCCACCCACCAGCCCACCTCCATCTCTCTCCGCCCACCACCGCCACTCCACCCACCCGCCTACGTAACGCCAGCGAGCCAGGGAGGTTACGAGGCGAGTGAGGAATGCGGGTCTCCCAGTGTTAATCACACACACGCGGCATTCCAATGGCACACACACAGTATCACAATTACTCACTGTAATCCAAAAACGCACATCAGTCCAATCGCACACAACAATCACATCACATACGTCATGCCGATGATACAGTTTTACAATTACTCAGTCATCCATTCACACACGGCGTTCCGATCACACACGGCATTCCAAACACACAGTGTTCCAAATACACACAGTAATAGTATCACACATACAGTAATAATATCACACATACAGTAATAGTATCCCACACACAGCATTCCAATCACACACACAGTAATGGTATCACACACACAGTAATAGTATCACACACACAGTAATAGTATCATCAACACAGCATTCCAAACACACACACAGTAATAGTATCACACACAGTAATAGTATCACACACACAGTAATAGAATCACCCACACAGCATTCCAAACACACACACACACAGTAATAGTATCACACACACACAGTAATAGTATCACACACACACAGTAATAGTATCACACACACAGTAATAGTATCACACACACGCATTCCAATCAACCCCGGATAAATTCTACTCGTGCGACTGAGAATCACTCTGTCCCGTACAGACGAAATACGTTGCTGTATATGTGGAGTTTGCGTCTCTCTCTCTCATCATCACGAGATGGCTAGGAGATGTTAACTACCTCGCCTGGTAGGCAGGAGGTCGTGGTTCGGTCCCGACCCTGACGCCTGCTGCTGTATATGTGGAGTTTGCGTCTCTCCCTTCCCGTGGTCCCGTGGATTTTTCTCCGGGTCCTCCGGTTTTTCCCTCCACATTTAGAATCAACGTCACGCGTTGAGAGTCGATGTCTGCTCTACATTGCCACACGGTAACGATGATGACGACGAAAAGCCACCGCTTCGTTCAGCTGTCATTTGTGATGGCCAGGTCGCTTCTGAACAAGAGCTGCATAGCTCAGTGATGCCTCCTCGCCTGGTAAAACAAAATAAACACATTCCTCCTGCGGAGGGAGCTGGTAGGAACGGCGGCGTGGTGTATTCCGCAAATATGACCGATTATGAGGGCGGGCACAAGCCGGCGTGAGTAGGTTAAACGTTGAATTTTATAAGGGCACCACGGGGTGACCAGCCCCTCCCCTCCCCACCCAGCCCCTCCCCACCCAGCCCCTCCCCTCCTCACCCAAACCCCACCCAGCCCCTCCCCACCCTCCCCACCCAGCCTCTCCCCACCCCTCCCCACCCAGCCCCTCCCCACCCTCCCACCCAGCCCCTCCCCACCCTCCCCACCCAGCCCCTCCCTGCACGACGGACGGACACAACAATCCCCTGTGGGCGGTGTAACCAGGAGGTTCCTACCAGTATTCGTTTGCTGTGTCGCCTTCCCGTGGCGAGCCATGTGGCACAGCTCCTCCTCGTCGCCCACATCACGGGAGGGAGTCTCACAGCATCTTTGTGTGGTCCACCAACCCCCGCCCCCACGCAGTGCTGGGCTACAGGCGTGCGGCGCTACCCACCCCCCCCCCCGCTTCGTTTGGAACACAGTTCCTGAGCAACGGGCTCAGAGGCCCCAAAGACGCGAAGCAGCCAGCAACGAACAGCACTAAGTTCCAAAAGATACGAGTGTGATACAGTACTTATGTGTTTTATCAATCGAGCGGGTGGCGTGCGTCGCCCACACACTCCGTCGGAGACGAGGTGGTAGCAGGAGCCACCGTCCTCCACTTTTATTGTTGTCCAGTTCACGCCACCACTCGGACCCCGAGTGGGATGCCCGCACTTACGAACGCCCGCACTTACGAACGCCCTTACTTCACGAACGCCCGCACTTACGAACGCGCTCACTTACGAACGCCCGCACTGACGAACCAACTTCCATGGAAGATTTGTGTGTGTGTATTTTTACATCGACTTAAAACGCGAACTCTCGTTTGCAAATCGAACCGCCGCACTATTTTGTTCAGCTGAGCGATCCTCCGTGAGATGTAAATGAGTTGGCCTTGCGCTGGGAGTGAGTGTTTGTGTGTGTGTGTGTATTTCAATAATACTGTGCTCCGACTTATGAACCGTTCGACTTACGAACGGGCTCGGAACTAATTGTGTTCGTAAGTCAAAGACTGTCCGTACCAGGTAAAGAGGCCAACTGAGATAGATAACCTTTATCGGGAGTGAGCTGGCTATCACAAAATGACGGCTTAACGAAAGTGCCTTCTAATGTGAAATCTCAGGCAGCGGCAGCAGCAGCTCAATACTCTGAACGTGTGATGTTGATTCGAACTGTGGAGGGGAAGGAAAAACCGGAGGGAGGAACCGGAGAAAAATCCACGCGACCACGGGGAGAGAGAGAGAGAGACGCAAACTCCAAATATACAGCAGCTGGCGTCAGGGTCGCGATCAAACCCACGGACCTCCTGCATACCAGGCGGGGAGTTAACATCTCCTAGCCACCGTGATGATGATGAGAGAGAGACACACGCAAACTCCAAATATACAGCAGCTGGCGTCAGGGTCGCGATCAAACCCCACGGACCTCCTGCATACCAGGCGAGGGAGTTAACATCTCCTAGCCACCGTGATGATGATGAGAGAGAGAGACACACGCAAACTCCAAATATACAGCAGCTGGCGTCAGGGTCGCGATCAACCCACGGACCTCCTGCATATCAGGCGAGGGAGTTAACATCTCCTAGCCCAATTTGTTGGCACGATAACCAAGAGGATGTATCCCCCAGATCACGCGCCGCATGAATCACAGGGAACCAGGACCACAACTTTATTTCTCAGTCAGTGCCGTGCAATCATCCATCTGCCTGCGGTAACAAAAATCCTTAAAGCAACACCCGGTACCAATTTCGGTTACAAATCAATTCTTGGCACACCCAAACACACACACACACATACCATGCCAAGGCCCGTATTGTATCGGGTCCAACCCGGACAGGTGGCAACCCGAGGGTGGGTGGGTGAATGAGTGGTAAGCAAGAGTCTGAGTGGATGGGTGAGCGAATTATTGGTTTGAGTGAATGAATGGGTTAATGAGTGAGTGGATGGGAGGGTGAATGGTTGAGTGGTAGGGTGAATTAATGGGTGAATTAGTGAGGAGGTGGGTGGACGGGTGGGTGTCTGAATGTATCAGTGAGTGAATAAGTGAGTGGGTGAGTGAGTGGATGAGTTGGTGTTTGAGTGGATGAGTGAGTGAGTCGATGGGTGGATCTTTGGGTGTTTGAATGAGTGAGTGGGTGAGTGAGTGGATGAGGTGAGTGAGTCGATGGGTGTTTGAATGAGTGAGTGGATGAGTGGGTGTTTGAGTGGATGAGTGAGTGAGTCATGGGTGGATCTTTGGGTGTTTGAATGAGTGAGTGGGTGAGTGAGTGGATGAGTGGATGAGTGAGTGAGTCGATGGGTGTTTGAATGAGTGAGTGGATGAGTGGGTGTTTGAGTGGATGAGTGAGTGAGTCATGATGGATCTTTGGGTGTTTGAATGAGTGAGTGGGTGAGTGAGTGGATGAGTGGATGAGTGAGTGAGTCGAGGGTGTTTGAATGAGTGAGTGGATGAGTGGGTGTTTGAGTGGATGAGTGAGTGAGTCGATGGATGGATCTTTGGGTGTTTGAATGAGTGAGTGGGTGAGTGAGTGGTATGAGTGGGTGTTCGAGTGGATGTCAAGCGTGGGTGGGTGGGTGAGTGGGTAAGGCGATAGGGTCTGCCACCTCCGTCACGGATTGCTCGGACAGGTGGCAACCGCTCTGAGCCCACGTAACCACGCATCCGAGGACGCTACGGGTGGCCGGGGGCGACCTCGGCCAAGTGCCGTGGCGGGTCGCTCGCTCGGCTTAAATACCGAGCCGATTTAGATCTTTTATTGCAGCACACGCACACACGCGCACACACACGCACACACGCGCACGCACACACACGCGCACACACACACACGCAGACACACGCAGACACACACACGCGCACACACGCGCACACACACACGCAGACACACACACACCAGACACACACGTAGACACACACACGCAGACACACACTCACGCAGACACACACGTAGACACACATGTTCACACACACGCAGACACCACACGTAGACACACACACACGTAGACACACACGTAGACACACACTCACGTAGACACACACACGCGTAGACACACACGTAGACACACACTCACGTAGACACACACACGTAGACACACACACACGTAGACACACATGTTCACACACACGTAGACACACACTCACGTAGACACACACGTAGACACACACACGTAGACACACATGTTCACACACACGTAGACACACACACACACACGTAGACACAAGCAGACACACACACGTTCACACACATGCAGACACACACACACGCAGACACACACACACGTAGACACACACGTAGACACACACACGTAGACACACACACGCAGACACACACACACGCAGACACACACACGTACACACACACGTACACACACACGTACACACACGTAGACACACGCGAGCGCTTATCTACTCCGCAGATTGATGAGCGTGCGTCACTGCGGTGGTGCACGAATTGGCGCTGCGAGTGAGTTTTAGTGCGAGGCGCGCGCCACCCGCGCGGGCCGCTGTCGCCCTTCCAAGACCCCCCCCCCCACCGGGCAAGCCTTGGACAAGCGGTGACCCCCACCCCCCCACCGGACAAGCCTTGGACAAGCGGTGACCCCCACCCCCCCACCGGGCAAGCCTTGGACAAGCGGTGACCCCCACCCCCCCCCGGAGCCACTCCGCGCG